CCAGCAAGGCTGGCTGGGGAATTCTGGGAGTTGAAGTCCACAGGTCTTAAAGTGGCCAAGGCGGAGAAACACTGTTCCAGGAGGAAGAGTCAAGAGCCCAGCCTGGCCTGAGCTCAACAGGAGACAATCGGAAGAACGGGGGAGGAAGAGGATGCATCACCCGGACTTTCGGTCTGGAGTTTGGAAAGGGGAAGAGCAGTTATTCTGTGCATTAAAGCCTATTTGCAATCCGAACCCACCTAGCCGAGGTGCTCTTTAAGGGGGAAAGAAGCTGGCCTTGGAGGGGAATACGGTAAGCCAGGAGGCGGGATCCTGGTTGCGGGCTCCCTGGGAGAAAAGGCTACGTAGGTGGGGCTGTGGGAGAAACGCATCCCTGGGACCCTGTGTGGCTCCCTTACTGCACATCACCCCATTGCTCTGTCTGGATGAGGGGCGGGTAATCTGGGGCTTCCCAAAGGGTCAGTTCCCATCAGGGCTCAGAACATCTGGAAGGTGCCAGGATTCCCATCAGCCCTCGGACAGCCCAGCCCAACCGGAAGAGATGGACCAGACTCTGCCATGGGGTTCAGACAGGCAGGCCAGTGAATGCTCTCCTCTGGGCCAGTTGCTGTTCACCAGGCCTCTTCCCTGCTGCAAATGTGGTGCAGCCCAGGGTTTTTCTGGATGAATGCAAGGAATATCCTGAACACGCTACTTAGGAGGAGGCAGCCCTGGCAGGATTCATGGATGACACGAGGCACAGCTAGATGGCCTCCAAGCAAGGCCAGATCATCATCTATTGGGGCGGTTTAGTGACTCCTGCAGTGTGCCGGGGTTGGACTGGATGACCTCTTGGGTCCCTTCCAACACGATTATTTCCTCTTCTCCGAAAGGGGTCTGCATAGGATGCCAAGCAGCCAGATGCAGCCATTCAAGAGTTCTCTCTGTTTTTACTGCCCTGAAAATGGGGCAGGGAAGCGCCCAGAGAAAGGAAAGCTGGTGTTTTGAAGGACGCGAGATCTAGGGAGGGGCTGGATCTGGGGCAGGGCTGCTGTTCTTCCCCATCCTGTCAGCCACTAGACATGCAGATTTCCCACCACCAGGTTTACAGGGCCTTTTTCGGGTGGGACAGAGGCCTGACTTGCTCTCTGCGTTTCTCCAGCCAGGAAACAGGTCGACCACAACGCACTGAAACGCTTTAGTCATACTGTTGATGCCAACCTAAGATTAACATCATATGCCAAGGAGGCAGCCGCTGGAATGTCGGAGCCTCCTAAATGTTGCAGCAGGGTTTCTCAACCTTGGCAGCCGTTGCCCAAGCGGGGAGGGCTCGAGCCATCTCTGTGGCCCAGCCCAGCACGCTCTCCTCTCCAAACAGCCCGTGGCAACAGCCAGGCCCCGAGGAAAACGGGTGAGTTCTGGCCTGAAATTCTTCAGCAGCTCTCACCTCCCAAGCAGCTGGGCAGCAGTGATGGGGGACTCTGTACCCCTGGAAGGGCTGGGCAAGCCCTGGGGGACTCCTTGGCTGGCAGTGCCAGGGCATCTGAACTGCCTGGGATAATACACAATTCCCCTGTGGCTTGTGTGGGCGAAGACAGGTTGCCCCTTGGATGCCCCGGGAGTTGGAGTTTGCAGGGCCTTCTCGGGGAAGTTTTCCAGCACAAGCCCAAGAGAGTTTGGCACTGCCTGGCAGAGTCTCTGCTTTTACAATTCAAGGGCCGCCCTCGGGAGAGAAGCGTGCCTGGGGTTCCAGGCCTTGCATAACTGTTTGGCTCCTGATGCAAGTGCCAGCTTCTGTAATTCAGCTCCTGACATTTACTGCCCCCAAATGGGGGACCGCCACTGCCTCGGGGCTTCTAAAGGGGAATTAGCACTTGGGTGGCTGACCAGGCCGTTGCCTCTGCAAAAGGCAACTGGGCCTTAGGCCCAGTTCTTGCAACACAAGGAACCGTGATGTCTTTCATCATGTTTTATTGAAGTCATGCCTTACAAAACCAAATGGGTGTGGGCTCGTGCAAACCAAGTCAATCCCCACCCCCACCATTGGCGTATATGCAGATGCCAGGCCACAGCCTCCGGTCCTGCACTTTGCAAATCAAGATTCACAGAATTGTAGGGTTGGGAGGGTTCCCAAGGATCATCTAGTCCACCCCTTTGCCATGTGCAGGAACACCAGTCAAACCCTCTTTTTGACATCCTCCAGAAATGGAGAGCCAGCAACCTCCACAGGGAGATTCTTCCACTGTTGGGTAAATCCGACCCTCGGGAAGTTCTTCCTGATACTGAAATGAAATCTAGGTGGCTGCAACGTAGACTCCTTATTTTTGGTTGTGTAGCAGAGTAGATTTTGTGTCCAACCCGCAGCCTCCCCCTCCGAATAGCCACCGAGGGCCGAAGAATAAAGCAGACCCTGAGCTCAAGTAATCGATGTCTGTGTGGAGACTCCATGTACAGAAGCAGTGTACCTCGCAGTGTAGCGGTTGTAGGTGCTCGGCGGCGGCAGCTGTGAGAAAGGGCCGTGGGCTTCCCTGAGATAGCGAGGCTGTGGCTCTTGTGGCCTGCATTTTCAAGCATTAATGACAGTGGTCTTGGTTATAAACGAGATCCTTACTTAAATAATTTTGAGTTTCAGAAACTGAAAAAAGGCAACTGCGCACGGAAGAAAAGATCTGAATATCACTAAGGAAAAAAATCTATAACCCCCCCCCCCCC